CATGCCAGCGGGGACTATCGTCGCTCCCCATGACTGCTCCGTAAACAAAAAAAAACAAACCAATTAAAATCATGAGGCACCCCTGCTTCTTCCTGGCTCTAAACCCTCCCATGACTCCCCATTGCTCCCCAAACAAATCTCTCTCCCTCTCTCTCTCTCTCTCTCTCTCTCTCACACACACACACACACACACACACACGTATCCCAGGCGTGGTCCAGCCCACAGTGCCACCATCTTCCTCCCCTTCCCCCAGCTCTATACACACCAGCCTTCCTTCTTCCCTCTTCCTTCAACACCGTATTTTCCTACCTCAGGGCCTTTGCACCTCTCTTGGTTTCTGTTTAAACATTCTGCTTCCAGATCTTCCAGATCTTCCAGATCCACCCCTAGTTATTTACTTATTTTAATATAGCTTTATTTATTGAGATATAATTCACATACCATACAATTTGCCCATTTAGAGTTTATGATTCAGTGAGTGGTTATTTGGTATATTCAGTTATGTTCAACCATCGCTACAGTCAATTGTAGAACATTTCCATTCCCCCAAAACAAATGCTGTATTCTTCAGCTATCGACTCTATTCTCCCTCCTCCTCTCCTCCCCTCCTCCCCCTGCCCATGGCAACCACTGAGCCATTTTCTGTCTCTGTGGATTTGCCTCCTGTTCTGGACGTTTCATATACATGGATACAACATGTGGCCTTTTGTGTCTACTTCTTCCACCTCAGCATCTTATTTTTCATGTTCATCTATGTAGCAGCCTGTACCAGTCTTTGTTATAGATGAGTAATACAGTACTCCATTACGTGGATGGACCTCATTTGTTTCCACTTTTTGGCTTTCGTGAATAGTGAGTGTTGCAATGAACACTCATGTACAAGTATCTGTGTGGACGTGTGTTTTCAATTCTCTTGGGTATACACCTAGCAGTGGAGTTGCTGAGCCATGTGGTGACTCTGTCTAATCGTTTGAGGAATTGCCCGGGCTGTACTGTTTTGCATTCCCACCAGAAAAGGATGAGAGTTCCAATTTCTCCACGTCCCGGAGCCGTTTTGATTCTAGCCATTGCCATCCTTGTGGGCGTGAAGTGGTATCACACTGTGGTTTTGATTTGCATTTCCCTGATGACTAATGATCTCCCTTATTTTTAACATTTTCCCTTTTCTCCCCATTTCCCCCGTGGGACAGGGAGAGACTTTTTTTGGGTTCTGATAGCCTGAAGCCTGCACCGGAGCCTGGTGTGCGGATCGGCTCTCCACGGCCCCATGAGGCCGGCTCGCTCTTGCTGACTTTTCCGCTGGCGCCGGCTGTGTTTGGAGACCCGGCCCCGTTGCCATAGGAACGGCGCCTCTCACCCCCGCCCGCCCGCCGCGCCTCCCCTACGTGCCGGCAGCCTTAGATGTGCAGCCGCCCTCCTCCAGGAGGCCGTCTGCCCCGCTGTGCGCTGCCTCCCCACCTGGGACACCACCACCCCCGCCCAGCACGTGACACGTTCTGAAACGACATCGCTGACGGGCCTCCCCCATCAGTCTGCTCCACGAGGGTAGCAACGTGCCTGGGCTGCATACAGTAGGTGCCCAATAAATGTTTATAGGATAAAGACTCCACGATTCAGAGTGGACGACACACAGTGTGGAAGGCGGGGGGAGCCCTAGAGCTTTCAGCGGGTTCGAGGAACGTCTGTCACCCCAGGGCTTTGGCTCGCGTGCGCCACACCCTCTGTGCTCCGCGGGGAGGAGGTGCTGGAGAAGCAAGAGGTGGGAGCACTCGCAAACAGAGGAAGGTCTTGGCTCCCCGCGCCCCCATCCCCCGGTGGCCCTGGGCACGAGGCAGCTCCTCCCAGTCAGCGTTCAGTGCTGCGCTTCCACTCCCGCGCCCGCCGGAGCGCCCGAATTAGAGGAAGCGGGGGAGGGGGCGGCGGCTGGACGGGAAGTGGGAAGGCCGCCCGGCGTCTGCCCCCGGCCGGGCCCCGCGGGCGGGTAGAAGGCGGGGCTGGGCCACCCGCCTTTCCGTTCGTCTACCGCCCTCCGGGAGGCCGGGGTAGGGGCGTACGCTGCAAGGGAGCCCTGCTGGGGAGCCAACTAGGCAGTGGGGAGGGGATGCGCCTAGGGACACAGACCCACCTACGACCCAGGATACACAGCACAGGTCCCCGGAATCTACGCCCTACCCACGTCCGGAGGTCACGCGTGGATTTTTGCACTCTCACAACAAAAGACGCTTGGGGACTCAACCCTCACATAATGTGGGGGCATCTCCCTATGCGCAAAGGGGCACTCACACACGCAACCGTGCATAGGAAACTCCACAGCCACGTTGACAGATAGAAACGCCCACGAGTGACAACCGGCCTGTCCCCTTCCACCCCAAACACTGCCACAGGTGTCACGGCAGGAGGTCTCCCACTCTTCCAGGCACCCCTTCCTGGAGGAGGTCCCTATCCAATGTGCCCCATTTTCTCTGTACCCCTTAGGGGCTGGAGCCCATGGTTACCCCTGAGCCCCGCAGGGGGCAGTTAAAGGTGAGATGCACCCACTTAACAGCTGGCCAATTCTGAGACTTGAGACCGGGAGGCGGAGCCAGCAGAGTGTGGCCTTGCTGCCAGTTGTCAATGGCCCCCCCAAGTACCCCTTGTCACCAGGTGTGCTTGTGCCTGTGTTAGCAGCTGCCTGTTTTAACGGTCCCTATGTGGGCGTGTGTGCCTCTATGTGCAGGGGGCTGGGTGTGCCAGGGTGAGGCTCCCGGGACTTGAACCAATGTTCTTGGCCGCAATGATGGAATGCGATGATTGTGCACGTCCTGAGCCTTTCTTTGCGTGGGGGCTGTATGACCCAGGCAAGCTATGTGTGTGGTCCCTACCTGTGTTGGGTGTGGATAGATCTGTGGGAGGGTGAACCCACGGTGACTGTAGCGACGCGGGTGGGTGGCTGTTAAGACTTTTGTGAGAATACTGTCGCTGTGACCAAATGTGTGTGGCACTGTGTGTGTGTTGCTGGGTGTACAGCAGTTTGGGTGGCTGGACTTGTGCGTGTGTGTGTGTGTGTGTGTGTACGCGCAGGTTTAGCTGCTGTTGTGTTGTAGCTGTGACTAGCTATGTTTCTGGGTGGCCGTCCCCACTCATGCCCAGTGTGCGTGTGTAGCTATGATTAGGTATGTGGGCCTGTGTGTCCCTAGGTGGTCTCCCCAACTCTTGCCCCGCGTATATAGCTAGATGTCCCTGGTTAGGCATCCCTACTTGTGCCTGCGCGTTCAGGCAGTTGCGCGCCCTCTCGCCCCTGCGGCGAGCACTGCGCGTGCGCGCCTGGCCAGAGGCCCCCGGCGGGTGGGCCCCACCTGCGCGCCCGCCCGCAGACATCGCCCCTTTAAGAGCGGAGCCCGCGGGCAGCGGAGAGGAGGCGGCGGGCGGGGGCGCGCGCGGCGGGCGGAGGGGGGCGCGCATTTCCCGGAACAGCCGGCGCTGAAGGAAGCTAGAGGAAAAAAATAAAACCCGCGCACGGGCGGAAGCTGGCGCCACCGCTGCTGCGAGCTCCCCCGCGCGGAAGATGCCCGCGGCGGGCGCGCGGGGCTGGGCGCTGTGAAGCCCTGGGCGCAGGGTAGCCATGGCGACGGTGAGCGCAGCCCGCGGCGCCGCCTGACAGGTGTGGACCCGGCGGGACGGCGCGGAGCAGCATGTACGCCAAGGGGGGCAAGGGCTCGGCGGTGCCCTCCGACAGCCAGGCCCGCGAGAAGTAAGTGGGGCCGAGCGGCGTGGGGTGCGAGACTTCCGCGGGCCCCGACGCCAGTGGCAAGCTGGCGTGCTTGGGGCACGTGGGCGCAGGACGGCGGCGCGGGCGAGACCCGAGGGGCGTGGAGTCGCGAGATTTGCGAAGGCGCCGGAGACCTGAGAGGTCAGCAGAGTTGAGGGGGCACTCGGGACCCAAAGAGCATGAGATTGGGGTGGGCAGAGACGAGGGAGCGCGAGATTTGATGGGGCGGGAGACCTGAGAGACGAAGATTTGCAGGGTGCGTGAGAGATCTGGGCGAAAGACGAAGGGTTTGAAAGATCTGAGGTGGTGAAGCAGTTGAAGGGGTACACAGGACCCGAAGGACTTGAGGTTGAGGGGGCGCGAGATTTGCGGGGGCGCGAGATTTAAAGGGACCGGAGAGACCTGAGGAGTCGCGAGAGTTGAGGGGGCACGCGGGACCCGAGGGGTGTGAGGGGGCTCGGGATTTGCGGGAGCGCGCGAGACCTGCACTTGGGCGAGACTTGCAGGGCGTGGGCGCATTCGCGCAGGGCCGAGTGGGCGCCGCCTCCTGCAGCCTGGGGGGAGGTTTGCCAGGCGGTGCGACTGGCAGCTCTGGGAGTCACGGGGAGGCCAGAGGGACGCTGACCCCAACACCGTCCGCCACCTGTCTGCCCCAGGCAGGGCAGCTGTGGGGCAGGCCAGAGGGGGCCCCCAGGGCTTGGTGATCTGGGAGGTCGCTCAGTTCAGGGTCTCCTTTAACAATGCCGAGGCTTTTGCGCGGACCTCTGGGCACCAGGAGCTGGGGGGCTGTAGGAGCAGGTCCTCAGCACTTTGCAGTGGTCGGAGGACGGGGCGTTGAGGCAACTGATGGGACCCCAGACTGGACCCTTCCCTGCGCGCTTGCGCTGTCGCTTTGAAAGAATTAGAGCCCTTCTGCTGGACTCACTCTCCTTTATTAAACTTGCATACGATATCACAGTGACTCTTCTTCGGGTTTGGGAAGCATGTGACAAATTGACACTTGGAAAGTGGTTCGGCTGGTCGCCATCCCACCTCAACAATTCCCAGTGGTTTGCAGCGTTATTACTAATGAATCGTGGAGAAGGACTTAAGGAGGAAAGGATCCTGGAAGTTTGGTGGGCTTGGATGAGGATAGCCAGGTGTTGGAATGGGAACCATGGTGACCCACCTTGAGAATCTCTGTGTCCAGGAAGAGGAACCGTGGTCGCTCATCTTGATTATCTCCCGGAGTGTGTGGGAGTGTAGCTTCCAGGGCATGGATGGTGAAGAGCAACTCTGGACGTTGCTGACTTCTGTCCCCCAGTTCTACTTTGTCTTGCCTGAGCTGACCCCAGAGAATGTATGTTCCCTTTGCCTAACCCGTAGGTCATTCTGGGAATAAAGCCCTACTGGCTGGGAAATGCTGAGTGAGTCTTGCTCTGCAGGCTCCCTCACCCATTTGCACAGTTCTGGGGTGCCATTCCATTTCCAAGCACCTTAAGCTCCAAGAGTCTTTGGACTGGCATTTACTGCCCAGGTTGAAGAAGTAGGTGATTAGCATGGCCACCCTTCCCTGAGTGTCTTGGTATCTGCAGCTTCTGGAGGCACCCACCTACCCGTCTAGGAACCAGTCTCGGGCTGTAGTGGTCAGAAAACAGGCCCCAGCTCTGAGGAGACCACATCCCAGGAGGCAGGCAGACTTTGCGGTACCCAGACAAGTGAGGCAATTCTGGATCTGGAGATTTGCTATGAGGGAAACAAAGTAGGGACACGGGTCATAGTGAAATGTGAGAAGGTGTCAGCCATGCAGACTGGTGGCAGAGAGCACAGCACATGCAAAGGTTCTGGGGTAGGACTGGGAAAGGAGCTGGGGGAAAGGGACAGCCCAGGAGGGCACCTCAGGGCCACATGGCTCCCATGTGGAGGGAGGCTGGTAGTGGGTGGGGAGCTGGGGGACCTGAGGGCAGGTGAGTGAAGGTGTCTGGGAAGGATGGCAGTGCGTTTGGTTTTCTTTTGGTTGGACCAAGGTGGTGGCTGTGGAGATAAGAAAAGCAGAGGGGATAAGTTTGAGCCGAGGTGCTGGCTTTGGAGTTGTATATTGATCGGGTTGGACATATCAATAGAGACTTCAGTTCTTGGCTGAAAGATGAAGGGAGGGTCTGTGTTCCTGGACCCCTTCCCCTCACTCCTACCCCCACAGAAGTGCCTGGAGGATGCCAGAGCCCTGGCATTGCCTTGGCTCTGGGTGGGAGGCTGAGAGTCCCTTCCCTTCTGAGTCTTGCTGTGCCCCCCACCTTCATGCAGAGGGGCCTGTGTAAACAGTAGGTTGAAGAGCAGGGCTCTGCAACTAACAGAAGTTTGAAAACATGCTTCAGTCCCCCAATTTCACTGACAGGAAGCTGGAGCTCTGGAGAAGCAGCAACCCTGAGGTGTGAGGCCCCCCTTGCTAGAGAGGGGCCAGAGGGGGTTGTTCTGAGCCTCTTATTTCCTCATCTGAGACGTAGGTAGGTCCCTGCATCTGAGGACTCTTGTGAGGAATTGGTGATGTGCTGAGGATGGAGGCCAAGGAAAGTCAGCCCTCAGGAAGTATCAGCTGCTGGCCGAGCCACTTCCTGTCTGGTCCTTGGTTTCCTCGGTGAATTGGGGTGAAGGGGGTTCCACAACTTGAATCCCTCACTCTCTAGGATGGTGTTTCCTCCCTGCTCTCTCCCACCTCCTAAAGTGGAGCCAGCCTGCCTTTGGAGTCCCTGGTGAAGCGAATGCTTTGTGCTCAACTGCTAGCTGAAAGGTTGGTGGTTTGAGCCCAGCCAGAGCTGCCTCAGAAGAAAAGCCTGATGATCTGCTTTTGAGAGGTCACACCTTTGAAAACCTTATGCAGCAATTACTTCTGTTCTGTACACATGGGGTTGCCATGAGCCAGCGTGGTGATTTGTTGGCAACTAACAACAGTCTTTCTCTCTGACCCCAGGCCCCAAGCCCCCTTTGACACCCCATGGGGCTTACTGGCATCTCCCCATCTCTGCCTGGCTCAAAAAGAATCCAAGCACTGGCTGGGGCCCTGCCTTTCAGGGCTCACAAGTTGGGTGGTGACATCTGGCCAGGGATTGTGGTGAGGTGAGGGTAGGCAGAGAGGAAGCTGAGGGGAGGTGGCTGGGGTCCCCAGAGGAGGTGCTGGCCTCTTCTGTGAAGTGTGAACATCTCCAGCATGTAGGATGCCCCAAGGGCACCAGTGCCCAGAGCTGAACAGTGGGTCTGTCTGGCTGTTGGTTTCAGGCCATTTGTAACAACACAAGTGACCATACAGTGGAAGTCTCCTTGGCCCTTTCAATCCCTGAGGCTCTGCTCTTAGAAACTGTATGTGTGTGTGTGTGCGGGGGAGTATCCATCTCTCTTTTGACCAAGGTGCTAAACATTTGTGTGTTGAAACATTCTCCTTGAGGTTGGGGCCCAGGGTGCCTCAGCTCTGTTCTGACAGGGAGAACACGAGACAGTCTCCGTCCTCCACCTCACGTTCCAGGGGGACAACAGGCAGTGCAGGCCATGACAGGTGGGGGGTCAGAAGTGGCAGGAAGGCCTCTGACTGGGGACATTGGAGCCCTCCCACCCAAAGTAAAAGTGTAAATGTCTGAGAGTAAATAAGTGGCTGCATGTGTGCACACCTGTGTGAGAACCACCAGGTCATGCACAGACCAGTGGTTCCCCTCAGGTGAAACTGGCAGCATCTCCCATCAGATGTGGGGAAAGTGTGTGGGGATAGAGGCCCCTGTGGGGGTTGGCTGCTGCAGGTGTCATCAGAATAGGAAAGGAAGCCACCCAGGGGAAGGGAGGCCCTGCAGGGGTCCTGCACAGGCTGCAAGTCCGGAAGGAGGAAAAGCAGCAACCAGGAGGTAGAGTGGAGCCCCGGGAGGGAGTGGGGTCCAGGGACTATGAGAATGGCTGGCAGCTTGGAGATGCCTTGAGCTGGTTCCTACTGGGGCCTCCAGCTTATGGCAAGTCATCACCCCCTGTGGGGGCAGGGTGTGTAGTGAAGGCACCATAAGTCCTGGGTCTTTTCCTGCCCCCTCCCCCCAGCTCCCTGCTCCCCCAGCTCCCTGCTCCCCCTGGCCTGAACTCCCTAGCTCTCTGTCCCCTGGCATCCCACCCATGGCCTTTCATGCTGCCTGCTCTGGCTCATGACGTGCTGGGCTCCCCAGAGTAGTCTGCTGCTCCTCTGCCTGCCAAAGGCAGGGTGCCTTTAGGACGGAAGATGTCCCAGCAGGGGTCTGGGAGAAGAGGGGGCCTAGGGTGCAGCTGGCCAAGTCGGCATCTGAGGGGTCCTGGGCTGGGGACACTCTTGAGAGCTATGCAGCTGTGAGTGCTCTGGTGGGTCCCCTCTCCATTCCCATGCCTCAGTGGCACAGCTCACGTGCCAGGTGCCAATAAGGCCTATGAAACATGGCCTGGGCCTTGGGAAGGGATGCTGTCTTTTCTACCACCATCCTCCACCATGCTCCTTTGTCTCCCTGCCTTGTTGCCTCAACTTGACCCAGATCCCAACTCTTGTCTCTCTAGTATGGTTCAGTTCTGTTCCTCCCCCTCCCCACCAGAGCATGACTTTCAGGAGGGCAGGGGTCTGGGTCACATCCTCCCAGCACTGCACAAAGAGCAGGTCAGCCCATGTTCCAGACTGGACGGATGAATGGGTGGGTGGACAATGGACAACTGGGGAGTGGAGAGGATGGGGGGCAGAGCCTGGTGGAGGTGGGATGGGATGGGAGGTGGGATGTCAGGCTGCAGCCACCTTGGGTTGACAGGGAGCTCTGGAGGAAAGTGCTGGAGATGTGAGGCACTAACTGAAGAAGCCAGGCTGGGAGGGCCTGGGAGAGCAGGACTGAGTCAGGGGAAGGTTATTTTCGGATGAGGCCCTGCATGCAAGCAGGGAGGGCAGGCAGCGGAGGAAGGCAGGGCTAAGCCGGAGGAGTCCCGATGGGCCTCTGTGCCACCTCCTGCCTTCATCACCCAGCCTCAGGGTTATAAGGCACCGTACAGATGCCCCAGCTGGCGGCCTGGCTGGGCAGTGTGAGGGCTTTGGGGCAAGGCCGGCTAGGGAGGTGGATGCTGAAGATGGACAGGCGTGGCCTCCTCGGGCACCAGCATGGTGTCGTCTAACCCCCAAAGTATTGCTTCCAGTTCATTTGGGGTGGGCAGCAGCTGAGGAAGCATGTTCACAGGGATCCCTGGCAGGCAGCTCTGGGGTCTCCCACAGGCAGCATGGGGCCAGGACCATGAGGAGGTGTGGAACTGAACAGAATTTAGCCTGCAAGTGGGGATTGGGACGGGGCTTCCGCTGGGGTGGCAGGGGAGGGGTGTTTCTGGGAGGGCTGCCTATCAGGGTCTGATAGAGCCCTGGAGCTGGCCTGCTGAGCAGCTGATGAAGAAAAAGGCCACCTCTTGTCAAGAGGGTATTGGGTCCCAGGCCAGGTGAGCCAGTGATGCCAGAATGGGCCAGCAGGGGAAGGGGGCCGGCGTATCATCAAATGAAGTTAAAGGTGGGCACAATGAGGAGCTAGACGTGGGCCGGCCTGAGGTCTGAGTCCCTGCTCCCCCCTCCCCCCAGGCTGGCCTTGTATGTCTATGAGTATCTGCTACACGTAGGAGCCCAGAAGTCGGCCCAGACCTTTCTGTCTGAGGTAGGCGGGCCTTTCCCTGCCTGGCCCCTTCCCATCAGAGCTCTGGGTGGTGGGAGACCAAGGGCCAGAGGACCGAGCCGGTGGCTAGAGCCAAGCATCTGCCCGTCCATCCATGGCTCTGTCCTCCACTCCTCTGGTCCCTTGGCTCCCTGCTCTCCCAATTCCTTGGGGCCTCTGTATGGGTGGGGAGGGGTTGGCCTCCTGTCACCTGCCTTCTTTCTCCTGCAGATCCGATGGGAGAAGAACATCACGCTGGGGGAGCCCCCAGGGTTCCTGCATTCCTGGTGGTGGTGCGTGTAGGGGCAGGGCAGCGGGGGGTGGGGTGGGG